CTCTTCCCCTTCTTCGTCTTCTCCCTGTTTATCTTCTTGTTTCTAGTCTATTTTCTCTCATTTGTTAATCTGGCAATTTATATTCCCAAATTCTCTGATTCTTTCCTCTGTTCCTTCTGTTCTTTTGTTGACCCATTCATATATTTTTATTATTGTTTTCAGTTCTAAAATTTCCATATGATTTTTCTTTGTCTTCTATACTGTCTTTACTGATATTTTCTATTTATTTGTTTTGAGTATTTTTATAATTTCTCATTGAAGCATTTTTTTATGTCTGCTTTAAACATCTTTGTCAAGTAACTTTCATATTGGTGTATTCTTGGTTTGTCATCTACTAAATTTTTTTTTCCATGTAGTTTGAGACATTCCTGGTTCTTTATGAACAATTTTCAATTGAAACCTGGGCACATGGGGTATTATTACAAGATGTAGGATCTTTTTAATATTCTTTCCACTGGCTTTTTCTGACACAGTGCTGGCAGTGGGTGGGTTGGGGGGCAGGCATCTCCTTCTCACTGCCAGTTTGGCAGAGAAGTCCGCCTTCCCCACCTGGTCTCCACTGACACCTGATATGGAAGGCTCCTCATTACTGTCCATTGGTGATGAACTCCTGAATCCCTACTTGATCTTCTCTGCCATTATCCTGGCAAAAAAGGGCTGAGCCGCCTTCTTATAGTCTAGTGAGAGTGGGAAGCTAGGCTTTCCACTAGGCCTTTGGTGATACAGGTGGACTAGGGCCACAGTTGTTGTTTTTCTTTTTTTCTGTGATTTTTGACTGGTGTAAGAACTTATTTAAATCTTCTCTCTGGTATACTGTCCTTTTTCTGGTTCTACAACTAGAGAGAACAGTGTTTTGCTTTTTCATTTTGTTTTAATTTCTTCGCTATTTTAAAATTTTATTAGTACATAGTTGGCATACATATTGACCACATTCATCATAGGGAATTTGTGCCTGTACTTAATATATCTTAATTCTCCTTTTCCTCCCTTCTCCTCTTCTCCCTTCAACCCTTCTTTCTCTCCGCATTTACAATAGCTTTGTATCCATTTATTCTTTCCGTTTTCTTTTTTTTTTCCTTTTTCCTTCCTTCCCTTTCCCCTCCCCCTCCTCTGTTCCCTTTCTTATTTGAACACGTTTTTCCTGTGTTCCAATAACTATCCTCTATTATGTTCCTTATTTACCCTTTGGGTTTCTCATACAAGACAAGCAATGCAATACTTAAACTTGTATGTCTGATTTATTTCACTTAAGATTATGGTCTCAAGGTGCATTGATTTTCCCACAAATATCTCAAGCTTATCATTCTTTATGGCAGAGTACTACTCTATTGGATTAAAAAAAACACATCTTCTTTATTCATTCATCTGCTGATGGGCATTTGGGCTGTTTCCAAGATTTAGCTATTGCAAATTGTGCTGCTGTAAACATGGATATGCATATATCACTGTGGTATGATGCTTTTAACTCTTTTGGGAGGAGACCTAGAAGGTGAATAGCTGGGTCAAATGGGACATCTAGTTTAAGTTTTTGGAGGAATCTCCATACTGATTTCAATAGAGACTGTACCAGTTTACATTCCCACCAGCAATGGAGAAGGGTTCCTTTATTCCCCACAGCCTTACCGGTATTTGTCATTGATTGATTTCTTGATTACAGCCATTCTTTCTGGACTGAGATAGAATCTCAGCGTTGTTTTAATTTTCATTTCTCAAATGACCGGTGATGTTGAGAATTTTTTCATATTTATTTGTTGTTTGTATTTCTTCATCTGAGAAACTTCTATTCATTTTAGATGCCCATTTTTGGACTGGGTCTTTAAATTTGGGAGGTCTGATTTTTTTTGTTGTTATTCTTTATATATTCTGGATATTAGTCCTTTGTCTGAGGAGTACCTGGTAACATTTTTCTCATTCTTTGGGTTGCCTCTTCACTTGGATGGGCTTTTTGTTTGTGCCATTATGTCCGGTTCTTCAGTTTCAAGACAAGGATATATAGGCAAAAACAAAACAAAACACCAGACCACCATAATATGTGCTCTTTGTGTCCTTAGGTCCATAGTTAGTCTGTTTTCTTTCAACCTTTTGGAGTCTTTTTAGGTTTGTTTTATATGTAATGTTTAGGGCTTTTAGCTGTATTTAATGGGAGTAATAAGGAAAATGTTGGCTCCCTCATCCCAGGAGTGGAAGTCTATGTAGCCCTTTTTATAAATAGGATCATGTTTTAATCACTAGGAAGTATTAATAGTTAAAGGAGCTTTGAAATTAATCTTTCCTAAGTTAATAATAACTCTCCAATTTATCATTTTATAAATTAAAGCCTTATATATGGGTATGCTTTAAATAAAAATTACCTAAAGATCATTTATACATTTCTGAGCACTGAAGTAACTGTCCTGTTTCAAAATTTGACTTAAATTCTCCTAAACAATTACTTTTTTAAGGCCAGTCTGAATATTTTTGAATGAGAAGACAATTCATTAAACTGTCAAGTGTTAAATAATATGAGATTTCCTTTGTCATTCCAGAGGAATAAATGGAAACAATTTTCTCACAAGTATTCTATCTTTTTTTTTGGTACTGGGGATCAAACTCATGACCTCACACTTGCCAGGCAGGCAGGGGCACTGCTGAGCTAAATTTCCAGCCACATATATTCTATTTTAGAAGCTTGCCTGTATATAAAATATTACTTCATTCATCTTACTGAATTTTTAATACTTATAATAATTGCTTATTAAAGACATTTATTTAACAATTTTGGGATTTCTAGATCTATTTTTTCTCAACATTCATTCATTCTTCTGGGTCAAATATCTGCTCTTATATAAATAATAATATCTAGCAATATTTTCATTTATTGTCCTGTAAGTATCTTCCTGGCATTCAGCTAACAGGCTTTTATTTAATTCTGCTCAAGACAAAAAAGTGAAGCTGAGAGAGACCTAATGGAAAGTATTCCTAAATGGCAAAGCCAGCATCTGCTGGCTCCAACCTCCACACTGTTTTGACAATGCTACATCTAATAAAGTAAACACATTTTCTTCCTAGGTAAAAGTTTATAGGTAAGTTTTCTTTCTTGAATGTTGTTTTGTAACTGCTAGTGCTCTTTGCTTTTTATCTTGGTCAATTTTTTCACCTAAGGAAAAATTTAATACATAAATGTAAAATATTTATAAAAGGCTTTGAAGTTTAAAAACAGTTTACTATTTTTAAATTTCTGTGTATGTCTTCGTTTTTTGTTTTTTGTACCAGGGATCGAACTCAGGACCTTGCACTTGCAAGGCAAGCAGCAGAACCACTGAACTAAATCCCCAGCCCTAAATTTCTGTTTATGTCATTTTTAAAATACCAACAATTCTTTAAAGTTTTGCCACATGAGTGTTGCTGTATTATATTTAGGATTAAAGAGAAAACACCACTGGATAATTTTTATTATCTGTACAAACTGTACAGAGATAAAACAAGTAACAGGAAAAGAAAAATACAGTAAATCATTAATAAACCCTTGTTAATGGTAAAAAATATTGTTTAAAGCAGGTATTTTTTATTTAACATAGAGACAGAAAGACTACATGTGTAATGATTTCTATTTAACACAGAACTATATTAACATTCATTAAACTTTGTAAAATAGATGCTTAATTTTCCTAAACTCAATTTTAAAACATCTGATAATCAAGATTTTTTTCTTTTAAAAGATTGTTTAACGTATGCAAGATACATCCTCTTATATTCACTAAATAATACTTCATTTTTTCCAATCATTTAAATTATTTCCAAAACATTCATCAAATGAATTCCTAATTGCTTAGTCAGTAGTCCTTTACATTTATCACTATTTTCTAATCTTTTAGATTTTAAAAACTATATCTTTTTTGAATTTAGGAAATTTTTTCTTTAGGAAAGTAGAATGCAATTACCACACATTCCCTGATTTATACAGGTCTCTGTTGCACAATGCAACTTTCAAATACAAAAATAAGTCCTATTTGTTTTTCATACAAGTATATTTATTCTAGATAAATTTCCCTACAGACATACTACACTTGCATTTAGGAAGGTTCATATTAAGCAATTTTTCTTAGTAACCTATTCCTATTTGAGGGCCTCTTTTCCATGTTCACTACTGTATATCAAATTAACACTAGAAAATGTTGCAACTGTATGTCTTAGTTACTTGAAATATTTTCTCTTTCTTTCTATGTTCAACTTCCCAGTGAAAAAAAAGTCTTGTAGTCTCCAAATTTAAATCAAGTAAACTAGTTCTTCCTGTAAAATGATAGCCATACTAAATGAACTTTATTTAGGAACTTTAACAGGTTTATTAAGTTGTCTTAGGAAAAATTTAAGAACACTTTCTGATTTGTAATTTAATCTAGCATGTGCCTAGAAATCAACAACTGCTATATATTTCCAAAATATGCAGAGCACTTTTAAGCAAGATGTTGAAACTACACACCTTGATCATGTGAGGAATATTATCCCTGGCATCATCACCTTAGGAAAAAATCACCACCTCGCTATGCAAATTTTAAACATGTAGACAATAAATGTATCAGAACAATCTGAGTAAAGATGATTACGACTGAGTTTAAAAATGTTTAGCACTCCCATTTTGATTTTCAGTTCCAAAAACATGAGACATTTTAGTTTTTCATGATGCTGGTTAAGAAGAAAAGCTTGTTATTTCTAAGAGAAATTACTTTTATAGAAGAAATATACATGTAGACGCAAACCTTCATTTTATAAATAATAGCTAAATTTCTAATTTCATTGTACAGTTTTGTGTCCAGGATACTTCAATAGCCTATCTTGTACCAAGCAGACAACCGTCAGCCCGTGTCTATTTCCCGAAGCCATTTCTGGATTTTTCCAGAGAGGGTGAACTGTATTATTGCGGCATACGCGGCTTGTTCCTAGGGCCGGGCTGTCACTTGAGGGTTATGCTTGGGTACAGTAGATAGGCTGGAGTAAGGCCCTCCTCCTAGGAAGGCCTGCAAAGGCTCCAGGCAATCACTCGTGCAGGCCATCTTGTTTTGGGCCTTGGCTCCAGCATCTGTGAGGCCCGCGCCTGGCCGAGGCCGGAGGCTGCAGAGTCTACGCAAAGACCGCAGCCTTGCGCACGACTCAAGCCTGCAGGCCCCGGATTTCTAAACCCCGCCGCGTTGCCATAGCGACCGCCGGCGAACGTTCTCGCGGCGGGCCTCGCCCCCCGGCCAATCCGACCGGCGCTCTCCTGAGCACAGATTCTCTTTGTTCCGCAGCCATTTCAGGCCCGGGACTGGAGGCTGCACCGCTTCGGCAGGAGGTCCGAGCACCGGAGGCGTCTGGGATGGTGTGGGATCGGGTAGGTGGCGTGAGGGGGTGCGCGGCCCCCAACCGGAGGGGCGGAAGCGGAGGCGAGGAGTTCCAGGGCTGTCTAGTGCGCCTCGAGGAGGAGCGCCCGGCCG